TCTGCACAGCCCCCTCATCCACACTCCTGAGGACACCCACCTCTTGGATAACCTCCACAGACACAGCACAAAGGACAAGGAACAAAGCTCAAAAATCTGTGGGCTTCCACCAATCCCTCAGCAAGCCAGTGTGACCACTACAGGCCTTTATCAATTCCAAACATCAAGCTCAATTCCTAAATATCAAGATAGGGAGACCTATATACCAGGCACTGGTTATGGACCCTAAAGATAAAACTTGACACCTCTCTTGGAGTCACTTGTGGTTTGGTGAGGAAGGCAAGCATACAAACAGCTAGTAATAATACTAGGCCAACTGCCCACCATGTTAAATGCAAGAAGCAACGTGATACAGATATCCAAGGACTGTCCATGGAGAGGGACAATGGGAGAACACAGGTAAGGTAGGAAGATCCACACCTCCATTGCTGAGAGGTGAGGAGCTGTGGGAAGGCACCCCCAGAGGTGGGCAACCCCAAAACAGCCATTGGTGACTGTATAATCCCTCAGGGAACAAACTATCTAGAAATCAGTAAAGGGAAGGTGGGTAAGGGCAGGGAGGAATAGGAAAAGAGGAATCAACAAGGAAAATCTGGAGAGGTTCAGATTACATAAAAATTGTAAATACCCTTATCTAAAGTGCAGTATAAGCAGAATGAAAATACACATGAACTACAAACAAATAAAAGCTATGTCACACATATTAGATATACTTTTACCTCCTTATTAATGATCTCCCGCCACTCAATATGAAATATAAAGGGACTGGGGGGGTCTCCGTGGGAGAGCATTTGCCTACCATGAATGAGGCCCTGGATTCTACCCCCAAGTACTGCAAACAAGAAGGAGGAGGAGGAGGATGGGAAGGAGGAGGAAGAGCTGAAGGAGAAGAGGCTAATAAATAAATCAGCACAAACAGTGGTTTTCCTAAAAACCAAAGTTAGGGAAATAAATGAAAATGCTGGTAATGTGAAAAAAAATTAACCTCACTATCAAAGAAATTCAAAAATAAAACAGCAGGAAGATACCTTCAGTTAAAAATAAAAATTATGGTAACACTCAAGGCTGGCCAGGATGAAGCAGAAAGGACGTGCCCATGTGAACACAGCTGGTGAAGAGTGTAAATTGGATTAACTTCTAGAAAGCAATTTGGCAATATGTATCAAGAGCCTTTAAAATGTTTATACCTTTTGATTCAGTAATTCCACCTCTGGGAACCTATCCTATGAAAATAATCTGAAATGCAGGCAAAGGTTTATGCTCAAAGATATTCTTCAAAGTGGTATTATAAACAGACTAGCAGCCCAATCATTAAATAATGCTTAAATAATGATGGCGCATATCACACTGGATTGTAGCCATCAAAAGGAATTCATAGAGGGAATTTTTAAGCCCTTGGAAAAGCCTGTGATATAACCTTAATTATCTCAAGGCCTTATATACATATGACATGACTGTATACACTTTTAAACCATAGGCAGGAAAAAAATAAATTAAAAATAAATCAAGGTTATGGGCTTGGGTTGTGGCTCAGTGGTGGAGCACTCGCCTCGCATGTTTGAGACCCTGGGTTCGATCCTCAGCACCACATAAAAATAAATAAATAAAATGGGGGTATTGTGTCCAACTACAACTGAAAAGTGGATATTGTAAAAAAAAAAAAAAAAGATAAATCAAGGTTAAAAATGGTGGTCTGTGAGTGGCTGGATTCTGGCGGATATTTTTGTTTCTTTTTACTCCATTTCCAAACTTTAGACAATGGGTTTATGTTTTTAGAATGAAGGAAAAGGAAGTGTAAGACCTATTCAGGGAATGACAAGGTGTGGGAAACACTCGTATGTTTGTGAAGCTGTACAGTGGGAAGCCTGGTGTGAATGAAACACAACCCATTGGTTGAGGGAGACTTTACAGGTTTTTAAATCTGCTTAATCTAAAGCTGCGATGGACTTTGATTGACCAGGCTCTCAGCTGCTTTAGTCTGTGATTTCAGCTAAATTTGAGTTAGATGGTGTATTAATTTCCTATTGCCATTTTCTGAAGTAGGCCTGGGAGTGAGAGTAATAAAGACCTACCTGTGTTTAATTATCACAAAAGTGGCGAAAATGCTTTGGAAATGAAATCACCAAGCAAATGTGAAGCAGAACTTTTCTTATTACCCTAAACAATGTAGTCTGTTTTTCATTTCTATAATGAAATAATGAAGGCGGACTTCTTTATACAGGCAGGAGGTTTATTTAGGTCACAGTTTATTTAGTTCACAACTGGAAGTCCAAACTGCATGGCACAGACTCTGGCAAGGGCTCCCCACGGCTACATCAGGTCATGGCAGGAGCACACTATATCTGTGTCTATCTGCTCTCATTTCCTTTTTTCAAAAAGCAAGCAGGATTGAAACATGGGAGCTCTACCCCAATGACCTAATCTAACCAGTTTCCAAAGGCCCTGCTTCTAAATCTTAGTGGGTTAAATTTCCACCCTCTTAATAACATTAACATATGTCTCCCGCATGAGCTGCGGGGAAGGGGACAAACCTAGCAATATCTTTGCCCTGAAAGAGGGGCAGAGAGGATATGCAATGTCATTGAGCTTCCCCATTTCTTCCTACAAAGTCGAAATAATAAAGTCTCCCTGTCCTGGTCCTTACAAGACTTAGTGTCAGCAGGTATTGTGTCTGTTGTGCCTTTGATTCCTGGGACATACCCCACAGCACCCCAGCACAGCCCCATAGGCAGCACCTGGGGAAAGTTCAGCCCCTCTGCTCCATCAGAGGAGGCTGAGCTTCCCCTAAACAAGATTACCAGGGAAGCGTTCTACCTGCCAGCTTCCAGTAGGACCCAACTGAAATGTGGAACATTGACCCACAAAATTAAAGCTGTATTTTGACATCTTGGCTTTTTGAATGAGCAGAAGTCTCATACCTTCCCTTGATATTTTCATCCTGCGTGTTATCTGAGGGTATTCGGGATAGAAAGAAAGTGAGTTTTCATTATGCATAACCCTGAACTTAGCATTCTAAACTATTTCATGTCTTAGGTTGTCTCAAGGCACAGGGACAGATGGGTGGCATTTTTCCTTCCCTGTAAGGAAGAGAAGCATAGATGTAGCAATATCAGAGAACTATAAAGACTAGTCACAAAACCACACTAAAGAACTAAGAAGTTGATCTAAAGCTGCAATGGACTTCAGTTGACCAGGACCTCAGCTGCCTTAGTCTGTGATTTCAACTGGAGTTGGGTTTGGATGGTGTATTAATTTCCTATTGCTGTTGTAAAGAACTACCACAAACTTAATGGCTTAACGCAACACACATTTATTCTCTTACAGTTCGGGAGGTCAAAAGTCTGGACCCAGTTTCACTGGGCTAAAGGCTCACTGTAGGATGGGCGGGGATGGTTCTTCTGGGGACACTAAGGAGGATCCAAGTCCTTGCCTCTCCCCACTTCTCTAGGCCTCCTGCCCCATGTGACTCATGGCCCCTTACTCCCATTACTCCAACCTCCTGCTTCCAACGGGACATCCTCTCCCTTTTACTTTCACTCTCTTGCCTCTCTCTGATGAGGACCCTTGTGTCCCCACTGGGCCCACCCAGATAATCCGGGAGAATCTCTCCACCTAACAAGCCTTACCCACATCGGCAGAGTTCCTTTTACCATAATGTTCATATTCATCTTAGGTTCTGGGGATTCCGATGCAGCTGTTTGGGCCTATTAGCCGGCTGACTCCAGAGAGATGCCTTCTACGCAGGCCCAGCTAGAGCTGGTGAAGGGCCAGAGGCTTGGTCAGCTTGATGGAAAATATGGAAACTTGTCCATGAATTCCAGAGCCAGGCTGAATGGAGCCAAGGCCAAACAAATGTAGGGAAGAATGTGTGAAGGTTGTCGCAGGTGGAACCTGTGGGCTGGACCTGGATGGCTAGCACATTCTAGGGTGCACCATCCCATGACCATCACACAACCCTGCAGCTCAGGTGATTGTTGAGGCGCCAGCTAACATGGCAATGGAGCTAGAAAACGAGGCAGAAGGTTAGGCAGCCTTCTTAGAGGATCAGCTAAGGTGGGGGCTCTACCTACTCATCTCCAGGGAAGGCAGAGGCTTCTGGACCCCATGCCAACAAAGAGCTGGGTAGCAGGAGACACCAGCAAGGCCTCTGCCTGGTGCTGCTCAGGCAAAGCCATCGACTCAGTCAGCAGACGGCTCCTCTCTATAGGCTGGATCTATGGGGCCTGCATCGACTCACGTGGTCAGAGGCTAATTAATTATCCTAATGCATCATGCTTAGCATAGAAGCTAATAACTGCTAATAAGTTCATTATAACTCACCTCCTCTCCTTTCCCTCATGGATAATATGATTTATCTAAGAACTTCAGAATTGGAATAAATCTTAGCGATATAGTCCAAATACCACCTTTTGGAGGAAAGACAGAAGCCAGATAGACAAGGGACTTGGTCAGCCTCACACAGACATTCATGGAAGAGCCAGTCCAGGTGGAAGGTCCGACTCTCACAAGGGTGTTCTTTGCATTTCACAACAGAAGGTGGTGTATGTCTCTAGAATTCACTCAGAAAGTCACACTGGGGTCAAGGACAGGGAAGAGATAGGTGGCCTCAGCTGGTGCCCTGAATTTGACCCTGAGGATAGAGCTGACTGTGCAGATGAGATGCCACCTGGAGGCTGACCACCTGGCACACGACACAAAAGCCATGGGTCTGCGGACCCCAGAGTGTTTGGGGAAACTGGACCAAACATCAACCACCAGCTACTCACCGTTGCTGGGCTGGGAGATCCCCAGCAGGCTTGGGCATGTGTGAGGGGCTTTGACTTCCTCTCAGCCTGCTGGTCTTGACCTTGGGTATGGCCAGGTTGAGGTGCAGGTGACACAGTCGCCCTTGGGCTGTGAAAGGCAGGGCAGGGTCAGGCCCTCCTCCAGCCTTCTCTCAGGGCAGCCAGTGCCTGGAGCCACCGAAACTGACAAGGAATGTGTGTCTGTGTGCTCTCCAGGAACATCCCCAGGCTCCAAGATGGCCCTGCAGAGTTCCTTCACATGTTGGAATGGGACAGTCCTCCAGCTCGGGCAGGCCTGTGACTTCCACCACGACTGCGCCCAGGGAGAAGACGAGGGTCACTTATGCAGTGAGTAGACGGGGACTGCCCCACCCTGGCCCATACCCTGTGCCTCTCCTGACCCTGTCACCCCAAGCATGTGTGCTTGGACAGCCTTCCAGACATCCAGTGACACTGGTGACTGCTCTCCTGGCCACACAGAGTGTTCCAGAGATGGAGCCACGAGGTGTGGTCTAGGAACTCACGGTGCTCTGTGGCCTGCGCTAACATCCATTAAAAATCAAACAAGATCCTGTAAGTTATGCTCTCAGCATCCTTAAGGCCCAGAGAAAGCACGCAAGGTCAGCCCTACCTCTGTCCTGTGACTTTAGCAGCCCTCTCTGCCCACTTCCCATGCTCTCCCAGCCCCATCTGTCAGCAGCCACCTGCCACTCTCAAACCCCCCATCCTCTGTGCACCCCAAATCCAGCCACATCAAACCATTTCTCAGCTCTCTCATTCCTCCCTGGGTTTGTACATGTGGTCTCCCTTGCCCAAAGCATCCTGTCCCCTCCCAAGTCACTCCCACTTTTTCAAGACCACCTCAAGAACCAATTTTAAAAAACTTCTGACCATCCCCCAAAATACAACTGGGTCTTCTTCCTTCAGATCCTTTCCCCCTCGACTCAGTATATCCTGCTTTCATAATTATTTCCCTTACTTTTATTAATAGTTTTTTTGAGATAAAGTTCATAGACCTACACCCCTTTAAAGTGTATATACAGTTAATATTCCTTAGTATTTATGGTTATAGGGCTGTACAACCATTACCACAATCTAACTTTAGAACATTTTTAACACTCCAAAAAAGGAGCCCCTTGCAATCTCTCCCCAGTTCCCTCCAACATTCCTGCCACTAGCCCTAACCAACCAAACATTTTCTGTTTCTGTAGATTTGCCTATTGTGAGTATTTCATAGAAATGGCTACATACACTATGTGATCTTTTGTGATGAATTTCTTTCACTTAACATTTTTTGATGTTCATCCATGTTGTGGCATATATCACTTCTTCATTTCTTTTTGCTGAAGAATAATGTTGCCTTGGAGAGATAGACCACATTTTTCTTATCCATTCATTTGTTCATTGGCATTTGGGTTTCCAGTTTGGGGTCATTGTGAATAACGCTACTGTGAATGTTCACGTACAGTTGTTGTATGGACATGGTGTTTCAGTCCTAGGAATAGAATTTCTGGGTCATGTGGTAAAACTCTGCATTGAACATCTGAGAAACTATTCAACCTTTCTCCAAAGCAGCTGAACATCACACATGCCTACCAGCAATTTATGAGGGTTCCAGTTTCTTCACCTCCTTGCCAACACTTGTTATTATCTGTTCTTTTATTTTAGCCATTCTAGTAAACATGGATCCCTTCTGTTTCATGGAGATGATTTCCATTGTCTCTCTGCGGGCAGTTGGGTCTGGTCATCTTTCCCACTAGTATCCCTCATGATTCTTGGTACAGTGTAGGTGCTCACTGACTCTTGGATGATTGAAAGGAATGAATGAATGAGTTGGGAAATTTGAGCTGTATAAAAGGAAAGTGAGTTTTGGCCACACTGGTATTTAGGAGCAGAGTGGAGACCCAGCCACCACTCACTCTACATGAACACAGGGCTCCTGGCAGCTGCGTCCCCTGAGGTCACTCCTGCAGAGCCAGAGAAACTGCAAGTGCTTATAGAGCACCTATGCTGAGCTAGGAAATGGGGTAAATCCTGGAGCAGGACAAGTATGGGTTTTCTGTCCTCAAAGCTCTAAAAACCCAAAGCAGGTGTAGAATGTTTTTGATGTTCATTCCTGGGCCCCGGCAGGAGCAAATGCCTTACCTCTCAGACACTCAGACCCTAAGACACCACGGGCCTATGAAGAAGTTTGCAAAATAGCTTTAACATCTTAACAGTGTCACCCAAGTCAACTGGACTCCTTGCAGGGGAAAGGTTTTCAATTATACTCACTTAATTGAAGCCATAAAGACATTCATTTTTCAATTTTAAAAACCTCATTTTTGTATGAAGCTTTCAAATGAAGTTTTGCAATTATAACAGAATTGCTTTTGCAGTGTATTTTTAGATAAAATTCAGTGAAGAGTTGCAGGAAGTGCTTGGTTTGTCCCATACGTTTCTGCTCCTGGCCTTTCTCGGAGTTTTTACCATACGTGGCCTGAAATGCAGGCTGGCCAGCCCACAATGCTTGCAGCAGTAGTCTGTCTGAGCCTCTCTAGTTAATTTGTGTCCACAGTATTCCAGCAGTGCCTCTGAGCTGTGTGATTTTGCAATTGCCTTTAAAAAATATTTTTTTTTGATACCCACTTCCCAACAGATCAGGCAGGCCATGCCCTGATTTACAAATGGGAAAATGAAGGCACAGAGAAGGTAATTGATTTGTTCAGGGTCACACAGCAGGTCTAGGACAGAGCTGTGATTAGAGCACTGAGCCTTCGGGATCCAGCCCATTAGTGTGAGCTCAGGGCATTTCCCCGCCACTTCAGAGGTTGCCATCATGAATTTCCAGGGCCAGTTCCGAGCTTCAGACAGCTTGACTTGGGTACAGAGGGCAAGAGCCTGAGGCTCAGTGGCCTTTTCAACCACATTTGAAAACCTGTTCTAACCAGCTTTCAGAGTGACAGCTCAACCCTGGACAATCCCTACCCCCACCCCCAATAATTCCTTAGCTACAGAAATCAGTTGCTAGGAGGAGAGGTAGTCCAGTCTTTTTCCCACTGTGTTCTTGGCAGAACTCCCTGTGAATATCTCTTTCCTTATGTGCACGCTCTGGTCCCTGGCATCTTTGCTGTTTTTCCCCGTCACACTGTTGATTCCGGTCACCATCACCATGAGGATAACAACAGTCATAATGCGGCTAACATTTATGGAGTGTTTACTATGGGCCAGGAGCTGCTCAGAACGCTAACTCATTTCATGCTCACCACAGTCCCCGGCGATGCTCTGACGCCCATCTCAGGGATAAGGAAGCCGGTCCATGCCCAAACTCACCCAGAGGCTGAGCACTGACTCAGACGCAGGCTGACTCCAGAGCCCACACTCTGGACCACTGAGACTCGTCTGTTCTATGAGTCTCAGCATTTGGCAGCGCTAAGCACTTAACCTAGCTACAGACTCATCCAGGACAGAGGGACCAGGAAAAGTCAGAGAGGTCCAGGTCTCTGCTACCAGGTCTCCCTTCTGTGAAGGAGCAAGTCAGGATCAGATCATTAGCCTTCACTATCCAGGTCTCAGTTTTCTCATCTAGAACATAAGACCTTTTTCAACATTTTCAATTAAAATTTTTACCAAATCCAAGTGAGACATCCCAGACCCTGTAACCCATGGAAGGGTGTCTGCTGGATTCCTGGAGTGTCCAACCAATAGCCTCAGTGTCATGTGGTTCCCCGGAAAGGGGGCAGGTATCCCCACTTCCTTCCCTGACAGTCCAGAGCTCACAGCTATTACAGACAGGTCATTGCCCCTCCCTGGACTCAATAATCTCATCTGTTTTGTGGGGATGATCTTCCTGCCAGGCAAGAACAGTTTTTTAAAAGTTTATTTCTTTATTGTAAAATAAAACATGCTGGTGGTAAAATACTTGGGAAATCTAGAAAAGTGCACAGGAGAAAATAACTATTGCCCATAATCTTCCCTCTCAGACATTCAGAGATAACCATAATATTTTGATGTATTTCTTGTAGCATTTTTCCCATGACTCCATATTTTCAAGGAAATGTATAACACATATTTATCAAAAATGTTAACACAGTTGTCACACAGAGAGGAAAAGAAGTAGTGTCATTTGGCCTGGAGTTTATGCTTGGCAGCTCCTGTGGCTGTGGCTGAGGTCACATCTCTGTGACTCTACCAATTCGTCTCTCTTAGAGTGGAATCAGGTGTCATCATTGCCAAATGTTGTGGGATTGACTGACCCACACACAGCCCGGCTTGCCATCCAGCCAGTGACATACCTGGCTGCAACCCAGGAAGGGGGTGGGCAAGAGCAATGCTTCTTGAATGTCAAGGTGCGTGGGAATGGTCTGGAACGCTTGTTAACATGCAAATCGAGTCAGTGGACTAGGTGGCGCCTCAGATTCCACACCTCTAACAGTTCCACAGGTCAAGTAGCCACGCTGGTCCCTGACACCATTTTGAATGACAAGAGATTAAAAGATAGACCCTCCCCTCCCATTTCATCCTGTAAGTACCAAAGCACTGAGTAGGTGCTCAGAATGAATGAGAAGAGGGTCATCAAAGAATGAGTTGAAGCTGGGCGTATGCCTATAATCCCAGAGGCTCGGGAAGCTGAGGCAGGAGGATCACAAGTTCAAAGCCAGTCTCAGCAAAAGGGAGACACTAAACAACTCAGTGAGACTCTGTCTCTAAATAAAATACAAAATAGGGCTGGGGATGTGGCTCAGTGGTTGAGTGCCCCTGAGTTCAACCCCTGGTACCCCCCAAAATAAAAGGATGAGTTGACCCTGTTAGACCCAACTTTATGAGCCAACCTTCCACTGAGCCGTTGGCCTTAGCATTGATTTCCCAAACTGGGTCTAATCAACCGGGGGTCTTTGTTTTGACGCCCCTCCCCACCGGCTCCCTCCGGGGTGGCCTCTTGCTGAGCATGGCTGCCCTGCTGGGCTTGAGGTCATGGGAATCCTCAGCTCCTCTTCCTCCCATCAGGGTCTTAATTGCCACATCAAGGGTCCATGGACCTGCCTTGCTATGTTGCCTGCCCCCTCTGGCTCATTCAATCAGCCAAAGAGAAATAGGGCTTCCACTCCCAGCTTACCCTGCCCCCTAGGCCAGCTAGGACAAAGATGGGCTTCCAGAAGACAGAGAATGCCCGGCTTTCCCCGTTCCTGCCCTGGTGGGAGACATGGCAAAGCCACCACATCTGCAGCCTTGATGAGGCCTGTCCAGAGGCCACCAAGAGATGTGTGTCTGTCCCTCCCCAGGTAGTGTTTGAGCCCTACCCTGATGAGGGCCCCTCACTCAGGCGTGAATGATAATTAAGAATACTACCACCATTTTATATTTGCACAACTCTGTTTACAAGGTATTTCCACACTCCCTTATTTTGACCTAAAACCTGTCCTGTGAAGCAGATACTAATCTTACCCCATTTCACAGGTAAGGAACCCCAGGCTCTAAAACAGGAAGGGACGGTCCTAAGGTCACACAGTAGGCACTATGACCCCTAGTCACTGCAAGGCTAGGACTGGAGCCCTATCAGTCCAGATCTCAGTGCAACTGTGGTGCCGGTACCCAAAAGTCAGGTTCCGTTCTCCCTCCAGCTCCTGAAGGGGTCAGGAGGGAGTGATAGGTTTGCAACCTCAGCTCATCCTGCCCCCTTCTCCCACCCGCCCATCGCCTGCCAGAATCTTCCATCGTGGTCTTTGGTTTTTAAAGCACCCTTGTGAAGGACGCTCTGTGGAAGGTCACTTCCCGACACCAGTTGGTTTATGCAGAAGAAGTGGATGAGGGATCCCTTGAGGGGGGGAGTAAAAAATAAGACAGGAAGATCTCCTTAGCTTTTGGATTTTTAATCAGAGGAACATGCGGGATGCGGGGGGGGAAATGATTTCTTCAGGGGGGTATAAATGGAAAGAGATGCTCAAAGTCAGTGACGGCCTGTTTTAATTTATAATGCTGCCTCTGTGAAATGCACAGAGAATCGAGGGGAAATGAGAATAATTCACTAAGGTGCTGTCATAGCCAGGAAGCGGTAGGGCCCTCTTTGTCAGCCTGCGGCTGCCAAGAGGCTGAGACAGAGGAAGGACAGAGCGAGCTGTGCATCTCTGCTAGAGAGCTCCTTCCCGCACATGGGGATGTAGCCCTGCTTCTCCACACCACGGCCTGCAGTCGTTGGGTGCTGTTGGAACAGCATGTAAGGGCCTGGAATGGCCCAGTAGCTCCTGGGACTGAGTTTCCAGAGCTGTTCTCAGAGGAAGGTGGAGAAAAGTGGGCTCTCTTTAACCCTCTTCTCCTTTCCTCCTCCTTCCATGGGAGGCTAAGAATCATGGACCAGAAGGCTGACCATGGTCTCTTTCATGGGCCTGAGTTCAGTCTGGTGTAGAGAGGATTGTGGACCCATCCTGCTGAGCCAGCAGATGAGACAGAAGCTGCAGGACTAGGGATTGTGAGGCCAGGTTATGCTGCAATAATGATCCATCACCAAACTGCAATGGCTTCCAGAACCCGACCATTGAGGATCAGGGTGGGAGGGATCTCCGCTCCACAGGATCACTCAGGGACCCAGGCTGAGGGAAGTCCTGTTGTCATCCTAGTGTTTTGACTAGGCACCCTTAGAAATAAGAATTCCTCAGCTGCTGAGGCAGGGAAAGAGAGGAACTGAAGGTTTATACACAAGGGCTTTTCACAGCCTCATCCAGAGGAACCACTCACCCTTCAAGGCCTAGAACTAGTCGTATGGCTTCAATTTACTGCTAGGGAAATAAGGCAAGCAAGTGGAAGGTTTAGAACAATGTGTGCTCAGCACTCAGAGGTTATTTGAGATTTGAGATACCCAAACCAAGCCCAGCTAGCACTACCGACTACACCGCGCTCTTGTCATTGTGTCGGCCATTAGAGATGTATTCTAGCCACGAGCAGTGGCACACTCCTATAAGCCCAGCAGCTGTGGAGGCTGAGGCAGGAAGACTGCAAGTTCAAAGTCAGCCTCAGCAACTTAGCAAGGCCCTATCTCAAAATAAAACAAAAAGGGATAGGGATGTGGCTCAGTGGTTAAGTACCCCTGAGTTCAATCCCCAGTACAGAAGAAGAAGAAGAAGAAGAAGGAGAAGGAGAAGGAGAAGGAGAAGGAGAAGGAGAAGAAGAAGGAGGGGGAGGGGGAGGGGGAGGGGAGAGGAAAGAAAAGAAAGAAATGAAATGTATTCTAGAGATCTGCTCATTGCCTTTTCCTGGGATAACATTCACAGTGGATCCATATTAAAAGTACAGAATCCAGAAGCTAACAATCTGGATTCTGTGCTCTTCCAATTCCAGCTGTGTTACCTGCTAGCTGCCCAGTCCTGTTCAGGTGTTTTGACGTTTCAGAGCCTCTGCTTTCTTATGTATAAAAACTGGGCTGATATGACCCATGCTGTGGAATTGTTATCATTACTATTTTATTTTCTGAAAATCAGGAAACTGTGAACCAGCAAATACACAAGCAGGGGCTTGAGCCTTCTCCTCATTACAGTCAGCATCATTAGGCAGTCAGCATTCTGACTGGGGAGCTGTTATTGATGAAGAGAATTTGGTCATGCCTGGCTAACTTGGCTTGACACTGGCATATTTTTGCCTTTGGCAGTCCTGGAAGTGACTGTGTTCCTGTGCTTTCTCTCTCCACAGGTAAACTCCCTGCTGGTTTCTACTGCAACTTTGAGCATGGCTTCTGTGGCTGGACCCAAGGCACACTCTCACCCCATGTGCCCCAGTGGCAGGTCAGGACCCTAAAGGACGCCAGGTCCCAAGACCAGCCAGGTACCCCTCTCTTCCCTCCTTCCTGATGTCTATTCCAATGTCCATGTGGACTGATGAGAGACTTAGAGCTCTACCCCACCCTCCAGGGTGCCTGCCCAGCGCTTGCTGAGGATGCTCACACACAATCCCCTCCTCCTTCCTGCTTGGACTTTAGAACAATTAAATCTGGCCAAGCTCAATATCACCTTTTGTTACTCAAAATGAGAACTTTAGTAAAGGATTAAACTGAAAGATAGAAGTGACAATAATAATCCATTTTTTTCAACAAGTGTTTGAAATGTTGACTCCCATCTCCACAGCACTGATACCTCCAAACTGCCCTTCAGTTCCAGGCATATAAATGTCCTGAGAGTTAGGGAAAGCCATAGCCCCCCTCTATGACTGAGAAGATTGAGGCACAGCAGGCCTTGAGTCATTTGCCAGGGTTGTGCCCTGGAAACTGTGCCCCTGCATCTGGTTCATTCCCTGAGGCCCAGCCTCTATAGTCATCCCCATCCCTGACTTTAACTGGCAAATCCTATGTTACCCTCCTCACACACCTTCTTGACTGCCAAAAGAACCAAGGACCTCCACACAGCCAAGAGATAGCCACTCACACTTCGATTTAGAGACACAGCCCCGGCAGGGCATGGGATCAGAGAGGGTCTGTGGGCAGCACAGCTCCCACAGTCAGTTTACTAGAAAGGCCAGGCTATCTAGCCATGGCCCAGCCTTGGCCTATACCTGGTCACTTGGGCAGGCCCTGATGCCCACCTCTGTGCAGCATAGGACTGGCAGGGGAGGGGACTCCCTCCTCCCCTCCCCCACATTTTCCTTCTCTTTTTAGAACTAGAGACCCTCTTACCAAAACCCTTCTCTTTCCAAGCAAAGATCGTACATCCTATGGATTATTTTAAGAAATAGTAATAAAAAGTATGTGAGAGGACAATATCCAGATCAACCATGAAGGATCCCAGAGCCCACACAGTTCTGTTTTCCGTCTTCAGAGCTAGCTGCATTGGAGTGAGCTGGCTTTGGGCCAGGATGCTGTCACAGTGGCCCCATTAGAGAGAAGGCTGAGTTACTACAGCCATGGGGGGAGATCTGTAGGGGTCCCTCACCAGATGTGGAGGCGCAGGAGTTCCTACTTCTCCCAGTCGCCTCACACACAGCACTCTGTCTATGGAAGGAGCAGAGAAGAGAAAGGGAGCCCAGGATCAGATGTGAGCTTCAGGTCTGCTCCCGGTTTGGCAATTCCCCCTCCAGCACCCACAGTAGATAACCACCTGGCCCTTGTTGGATACCACTGGTGACGAGTCTCCCACAGCCTCCTGGAGCACCCATTCCATTGTTTAACAGCTCTGAATCACAGACCAGGTTTCCTTGGCTCAGGGAAGCTCCACCTCTGAATTCTACTCATGGGAAGTGACTTTCCCTCCAGGAGCCCCACAGAATAAAAATACCCTTGTCCCAGATTGGCAGGCCTTCAAATATTCACAGACAGCAATTGTGACTTACCCACCCACGTGACAGCTTTTCTTTCCCCAGTCACATAACCTCAGCTCCTTGAATCTGCCTCATGCTTGCTAAAATCTCTGGCCTGTCCTGGTAACTTCTCTGGACCCACCTGAATTTTTTATTTGGTAGAATTCAACAATTGACTTTGTTACGAGATGTTGAAAAGTAGAAATGAAGGACTAAAGCCGTGCTTGGTGTGCCACGGGCCCCTAAAAAGTTGTGAGGTCACTCCGACTCCCATCTCCACGGCACTGATACCTCCAAACTGCCCTTCAGTTCCAGGAGGTTTAGAGACGTTTCTTCCTGCCACCATGTGGGGTCAGCTCCTTATGGTCTCCCAGCTTTCCAGGCCAAGCATGCTGAAACAAACACAGGAAATGAGTCTCCCTGGGCAGGACATGGGCCACAGGAAGACTTGGGTTCCAGAGCAAGGAGAAGAGAGTGAAGGTCATAAAGAAAAATGGAAGACTGGCCAGTCATGGGGAGTGTCGGGCTGGGGAACCCTGGTGCATCAGGGTTAAGTCCTGAGGACTGGGAGTGTAGTAACCAGGTATATGGTGCTGTCATAGACAATTGGGAATGAAAGTTTTTGCATGAGCTAGGGCTGTTGACAATAACAAGTGAGCCTCCTGAAGTAAGAAACCAATGTCCTCAAAGACATTTCTAGGCTAGATTTAAAAAAAAAAAATGCATAGTCTGTTAATTTTGCACTTCCTGGGCCCTTTGATTCAAGAAAATGGTATTTGAGATTCTTCTCCTCTCTCCCCCAGGCCACGCCCTGTCGCTCAGCACCACTGATGTCCCCACTTCTGAGAGTGCCACAGTGACCAGTGCTACCTTTCCTGCGCCAATTAAGAACTCTCCGTGTGAGGCAAGTCTCAGTGTTCCTCTAGTTCTATCTTCCAGATGAACCCACACAAGAAAGGAGCCTGCATGGCTAGGCTGGTTGATTTCCTGGCAGGACAAGAAAGCCATTTTGCTATGTTTTAGGCATATGGCATCCAACAACATGCTAAACCCCATCTGCAGAGAATCTTACCTTCAATACCCAGACTCAGCTGCACTGAACTATTCACAGTAGGACCTTAATTTAAGCAAACCCAGAAAAAATTTCCCAAGGCATAACAGGGAAGGGTAACAATGATTTACAGAAGACTTTCTACTGAACCTTTTTTAGAAATATCGAGCTTTCTTATAATACATTTCAAATATTATGAAGCATCAAAAGTTTGATTTACATAAATTTCTCTAAGATATCAGGGGCATTCTGTTGAGGATCAGAGGCCTGAAGTCATGTTCCTTCACATACAAAGGTCATATCCTCAAGAGGCCGAGAAAGGCACTTAAGACCCCAACGTGGCACAGTGATTAAGTTCATGGATTCCAGAATCAGTGACCTGAGTATGAGACAGGCTCCATCCCAATTGGCTGTACACTTCAGTTGAGCAGTTCATTGACTTCCCAGGGCCTCAGTTTCCTCACCTACAAACACTTGATAGTGCTTGGCCCCAAGAGGTAAGAATTAAATTGGTTAATATATGTTAAAGGCTGAGATGAGTATCTGACACAAAATTGAGTGTTCCAATAGTTCAGCCAACAGTGCCTTGGAATCCTGTCTACACATTCAGAAGGAGAATGGAGAAAGAAGAGAGCATCAGCAAAACATCAGACTTCAAGCTCTCAGAGGGCAGGCCTGGGGCTTCTTTGTACTGCCCCATGGCACCTGCATCTCACATATCATAGAAATCCAATATGTAGCTCAGACTCGGCCAGTGCCCTCTTTTGGGAGATACCTAGGAAAAAAATCCCTATCTGACTTGGTTTGCAAAATAGCTCCACCCCCTCTGACCAATTTTTTTCCATTCAAGTTGTGGACATTATGGAAGTTGGTAGCTTCACTTCCCCTCCTTTGGCTGGTAGAAATCTCAGAGATGAGAGGCTCTGGCCAGCAGAGGCACAGACAACAGGACTCCCCCTTCTCTGAGATGAAATTCAAGCTCTCCAGTTTGCTTTGAAATGAAAACTCACAGGCATAAAACAAATAAGAATGAAAAAGTTGTGTAAATGAATTTTTTCAATTAGAGGAATGGTCAAATTAAAGTTGAGGCTCCCCCTTAGTAAGTAAAATAGGACTTTATGATATGTAGTTTGTCGATGCCCCACTCCTGGTGATTTTACAACTCAACATTTGCCCCATCTTCCTCACCAATTTCTAGTTTATGTTATCTTACTACATTTTATGGGTCTCTGAGCCACCTTAAATCCTTTTTTGGAAGAAGTCTGGGCAGAAATAAAGGGATTCATTAAATCAAATTGTATTTGAGAAACCATGCTATCTGATGCAGATGATAGAATTCGAGTCATTGTTGGTATTTCTCAGATGTTTCAGAGCAGGTGCCTAGAAAGGAGGGCTTCTTAAGAGAAAATCTTAACCAGGGACAGATGGTTGGCCCACCTGAGAGGACGGGAGAAGCCTTAAAAGCATTTGGTCTTAAAATTTATTCTTCACTGGATTTAATATAAGCCTAATTTCAGAAAAAGAAATGTCAAGGCAAAAGTGATATTTTTCTGATACTCCATCACTTCTGTAATAACCTTTGCATTGATCAATAGCTGAAGCAGGTGTGTTCTCTTACTGGTCTGCTTTATGTTTCTTGTGGTCACATTTGCTCTAGGCTATTTCTACTGTTTCCTGCCCTTTTTCCAGAATTTGGCTCAGCAGGTAAAATGAAGGGAAGGGAGTGAGTCCATCCCACATTCACATTATTCATATTTATATATATATATTTACCTTCACATTATTTCACATTCAAGTTTTCAGGCCATTTGTCTGATGTTGATGGGCCTTTGAATTCCCAATGTTGGGAGCAATGTTTTTAGAAAACAAAATGAATAAATAACCAAAGTAGAAATATATATTTTGGGTTTATAAGCCCCACCATTTATTTGATTCAAAGCAAAAAGTTGATTTTCTTCTCTCAAGTTGGCCAAACTCCAGTGGTAGGGAAATGGATGTAGCACTTCTACCGGAGACTGGGAGAGGTTATCTCAGACCCCTTCTCAGCCCTCCAAAGGGTCTTCATTGGCTGTGTGGCTTGAGTGCAGAAAAGTGAATGCTAAATAGGGCCAAGGATGGAGGTTCCTAACGAGGGTCTGAGCAGGAACTGGCAGCTGGTCTACCTGAGCGCTAGGGCGGATGCCCACCATGGAGTATCTTCTCTAAAACAGATGAGCCCTGATCTCCAGGAAATGAATGTGTGGCAGATATCCCAAAATGTTCCTCCATGAAACCCCACAATCATTGGTGAGCTCTCATAGAAGAACTGGTGTCGTCATCAATGAATTTCCAGGAACAAGCTCACTATTAAGTTTGTTTCTCCACCTGCCATCACTTGGAAAGTGTGATAAATGAGGATTCTCGAGCCCCACCCTGGACCTCCTGAGTGGCACCACTAAGTGCAGCTGGGACTCTGCATTTTCAACCCTAACCCTTGGTAACTTGGTTGTGATTTTTGAGATTTTTCTGGCCCATAGGTGTGCTTGCCAAATATGGCTGAAATTCATTCTGGGGTCCATCAGAGAGTTTCCCTTCACTACATGTGTCCCCAAATAGTGCGACATAACTCGACTTTCAGAAAGATGAACCTGAAAACAGGCTAGAAATGATAGATCAGAGATAGAAGAGATGAGAAACTGAAAGATCAGACACAGCCAGGGTGCACCTTGGGTCCACCCCAGCTTCTGGGGCATTCCAGATGCAGGCCAGCTCCCACCTCCTCCCTCCAGCTGCCTGCAGCCACTGCTGCCACCTCCCCCGCCAGCCGGCTGCAGCAGACACTGCCTCCTTCCTTTCTCTGCACAATTGCACATGGGGCATGAATATTTAAAGACCTTTGCCTCGCCCAGCCACAAACAGAGCATTGTGAGGTCTTTTTTTCTTTTTTTTCCCCCTCCCCACACGCTATTCTCTGCAGGAAACTGAGGAGCCCCTTACAATGTATTCTGATTTTGTTTTATTTTTATTTCACCGATCTCCAGTTCAAATAATTAAAGTTGCCACCAATCTCCAGTTCAAATAATTAAAGTTGCCACCGGGGAGGGGAACCTTGCCGTGGCTTTCATAGGCTTGCGCGTTGTCAGACCTGCTCAGTCCTCCTTGGCTTTGAGACACCCTGGATGTGTCTAGCATTGCAGCTGCTGGTAATAAAGAGGATGCAGGCGAGGAGCAGGGGCCGTCTGCGCCCCTCCCCCTGCCTTTCACACACCCTGGAAGCTTGACTGTCTCAACAAGCCCCGTGTGGTTTGTAATTCTGTTTTATTTGAATAGCCTGCCTGTGACTAGAATAATTTAAACCATGTTCTCAGGCCAGAACAAGGCCTGGGGGGAGGGGGAGGGAGAGGGGAGTGGAAAAGTAGCCTTCCCTCATTTTCTTTCCTCTCAAAAACCTGGAAGCGGTGTTTCTCCCTGTGAGCTGCAGGAATACTAGGGATCCAGGAAGTGGGTTGTCACCCACCATTTTAATGGTGGTCAGTTCCCAACTGCTGGTTTTCGTACCTAGCCAGAGCTAGGGCCACCTGTTCCCTCCCTGCACATACACTGGCATCCTGGAGCCCAGCCAGGACTTTCTGCCCTGATGTCAGCCCAAGCGGTGAAGAGAGAGGCTCTGATTAGCTGCAGTCATCTGCTTCATACCTGGCCGTGAGGTTCCTCCAGGTCTGCTGGCCTGGAGGGAAAGGAGACCCACACTCCGGGTCATTAAAACTAGTAAATGGGGCCCAGAGAGGTGCAGGGGAAGAGATGACATCTGGAATTGCCCTCTGCCATCCATTAAGCCCTGCTCAAAGCCCCACTGAGAAGTCCCCTATGGTGGCAGCCCTGAAGGCTGGCGGCCAGGGAGATTTTTAGTAAATTGCTCGCTGGCTGATTTTGTAAGACTTTTCAGGGTGTGGTGATCATTCCCGGAAAAATGCCTTCGTCTCCCTCCAGCCTCTCAGTGTGACTCAGTGGCAGACTAGGGTGAGAGGCACTCCCGGCTGCTGATTGGGCTTATTCAAGCTTGCCCCTGCTTCCTCCCCACCAGCAGAGGAAGAAGACTTTCCGGATGGGAAAGAGAGAGGGACTTTTCTAACTGCTGTGTTTTTAAAGTTTATTAAACTCAATGGCAAAGTCTCCTGTAGAAAGGCAAGAAAAGGGAGATATGAGTAATAATAATTAAAAGATGGCTTGAGGTGGAGGAAGAAACAAAGGCAGACTGCTCTGGCTTTAGTAGTCCCTCCCCAAAGCCCCGACAAGGTAGGCCCAGGGGGATGAGCAGGAATATTTGATTCTCTCACTTTACAGAGCACATCTACATATCTGCTATGAGTCAGGGTGTATGCTGAGCTGCCCAGACAATGGGAGCCGCCCATGTCAACAGGACAGGAAAGAAATGTACCCAAAGATCCAAACCAGCAAATACAAGCCAAGACCAAACCCAGATCCCATGGCTTTGTCACACTGCTCTGCCAGGACAGATCATTCCTTCTCAGATTAGGGGCAGTTGATGTGACACTCCACAGCATCCAGCCTCATGCTCACCCAGCTTAAAGCCCCCAACACCCCAGCATGGATTCCTTACCTCTAAAGGCAGAAAAAGAACACCACCCCATGATGCCAAGGGTCACTGCTGCTCACATGTGGGACTCAAACGTTAGTTGTTCATTGTATGTAGCCCAGCGTGGTCTAACTAATGTTAGCTAATTAGGAAGGAGACGTCTACCCAGTGAAAAGGAAGCTGCCCTTCACCCTTCTCTACTCTCCCATTCTTCCCATCCCATGGCTTACTACAAGCCAGTCCCTATCAGAGTCAACCTGAAACCAGCCTCTGTCCT